GTCATGAGAGATAAGGTGTTGAACACATGCTCTCTAGCTACTTGAGATGTTTGCATACAAAGCCATTAAGATGGTAATAATTTTCTCGAGAGCACTCTTCATCAAGAGACAGTTCCAGATGACAGTCGTGTTTAACATTACGAATGGGATTTTGACAACGAAAGACATAATGGATGCTGACCTGTAGCTGTAATGGTGTTTTTGAATATTTGACTGCTTGAATATGTGATCGACAAACCCACAAACAGATCAAACAAGGTCGAGTGACAGTTTTAAATGATCAACGAACTACGTGGTAAGCTAGTGGTTTGAATGTAATCAGAGGAAGACTTATCCTACTGTAGTTGGTGTATCTACGTCCGCTTTGAAGATAGCTCCGGATAATTGGGACGATGTTTTGTCTAAAAGTTTTTCTGTATAGAGTACTCGGTTCTCTGACCATGTGTTCCAATCCCTCTCTGGAAAGTGAATTTTTCCATTCAAATGTTGATTTGGTCTGTAAATTTCCTCCTACTGCTTGGGTTGATCAACTGTCACAAGGCAAGAAGAAAAGAAGAGTATAACTCTCAGAGGTTTTGTGAAGCCTTGCCTAATATGCTGCGACATAGTTGTGATTCGGAATCCTCATTCCCAAGTTTTAAGGAATAAGATTCCCTACTTGGAGGGTTTCCATCAAAAGTGAGAAGCCCTCCACTAAATTTTTAGTCGAGTGAAGTGGGTTAAAGATTTCTTAGAATTCGCAACCTCGTGTAGGGAATCTCAATGCCTTTCGGCTATGGCAAATGGCCGTAACATGAGTCTGATTATTGGTCAAAGTACTGAGTTATCTAGGTTGGGAGATTTCTTTCATATAAGAGATGTATGGACCATACTCTCATTATTTGTAAAAAAGATCTGATTATCTCCGCACTCCATTCGTTTCTCAATCCTTACTCTGCATCTTTCTAAAATGAAGCGAAATCTCAATAAACATGTGGTACTGATTTGCAGAGAAGACACATGAGAAATAAATTTGAAGTATTCAGCCTACCATGAACTTTTGTCAAGAATATAACCCCACTCACAGAATTTTGGATGCGATTAATTTACCCGAGTGTTGAACGTGAATCACTGATCATCCCGACATTGCACTTCTGCTTCCACCATGCTTGGTTCAATATTCAGCATTGTGGCTCCTGAAACCTAGACCTTGAAGAACGTCATAATGGTATTTCGCGTTATGCAGTTAGAATCTAGCTTTCTGTAGCTCAAAATTCGATTTGATTTTAATTTAGCTGAAGCCTGAAGAACTACCAACTGACTACTCCTCTAAGTGACCTGATTGGTTGGCCAATCAGTTTACCTCTCCTGACATTTCTATTGTTAGGCCGTCTCTCAGATCGAACGGTTCTTCACATGGTCGACAATCACATCAATCTTTGCCTAAAAGTGAATTTTTTAAGTCACAAAGCACCAACAATAAAATGGTCTTGTGTAACATACAGTCAAATGCATTACCCATATAACTCATGAGTAGTAGCTCAAGTTCGGGAATCAAATAACTGACGACGGCTACGGAGAGACGTATATGTACACATAAGGATAGCGAAGCGGTAAATAAATCTTCAAAATAAATAGCTCTGTAAGTTTTAGACATTGGATGCTGACCACAGCTTTAGTGGACTCATCTAGCTGAAGGCGCTCGGTCAAGCATCCGGACCAGATCACGTGTGGGAACGCCGTGCTCAACATCTGCCGCAATCGCTAGCCAGATTAGTGCAAACGATCCTCGATTTATTGATAGCTTATCAAATATATCTTCGATCTCCTCACTTCTGTCTTTTGATTTTACCTGGTGGGTGCGCTTCGTATTAGAAGGTGTTACTGGTTAAAGCGTTTTTAAACTCTGAATACCTGTGGCATCTTCAATAGCGTGAACGCTGTACGGCACTATAAAACACAATACAAAACCACAACATTTAGGCTGACTACTTTACCATGAAAGGTTGATTTTTCAACATATATGAAACTAATCCGGATATAACTCGTATGCTATGGGGCGTGTATGTTGATGTGTGCCTGCAAGTCACGAGTAGCTATCACGTTATACATTGAGCAAATCAAGAAGATACATAAAATGATCCTGAATTTATTTTCGAAATGAAACTGTAACAAAGATGTAAGTATCAAATGGAGATAATACAATAGTCGAAACTACGTATGAAAGAGTGGGTGTCTAAATATCTGACATGACAATACATCGTTTTTGCACTCTTTGAGTCAGATGTGAATTTTCTGCTACAACAAAACCATAATAGAAAATCTGACATTCACAGTCATACCAAGTTTGAATCACTGTGCGATATTTGTAGCTGTCTCGGTCAATCACTCCCCTCCTAGTTGCTTCAAACGCAACATACACACATCCATTTTCTTGCAAAATCAGGACTTGTGAATAATTTACTGCAAAAACGCTAAGTTGGATTCCGAAACAGTGATGGGTAACCTTGTTATGTGTACAACGTGGATCACTCAAATCAAACGTCAAAACTGGGTCTCCAACTAAATAAAAGAGCTGGTCTATGCATAAATAGATACATGTCGGGAAGTACCGTAAAAATAGTAGGTCATCTACTGGGACAATAAAACACGCTGGTTTATTTTCAAATTTCAGGTTATTCGTTATATTTTACGTACAGGAAGATCCGACAAAATATGGGGTTGGCTATGTATTTAGAAAATCTCAACACTGGTGTCTGTTATCTATCCGATACGCATATTCAAGTCTCAAGTGTAGTATTGTAGTGGCATCAGGCTTTAACCACACAATCATCAAAGCTGAACACGAGAAAACTAGGAAAATAGACGTTCATCATTTAACGTGGAGAAAAACCCAACGATGGCAACCGTGGGAAGACTCAATCCAATTAGTTCTAATTGATGGGTTTGCATGGCTTGGTATTGCGGGCATGGTCCCACCTATATAAAAGGCTTATCTATATTAAATATATTGTTCTATCTCCAGCCTAAATGTGTTCTTCACCATATATTGATGATTGTTATAGTACGAATGTGTCAAGGTAGATAATTATGTGACATCCACGTAAGTTCTTGTAGATTAGGCAGTTACATCATAAAAAATCTACAATTTCAGGATTACGTGTATTATTAGAGCAGTGCGAGTTTCGAAGTAGACCATAATTCTACAGTACTAGAATTCACTCTCCATCTGTCACTTCAGAAAGCCTGTTTCACGTGTGCTTATTCGGCGACCCTGTGCCATCTTCATTTGGTATCGTCGGCTTCGGTGTCTCACTAGAACTGAGGCAGCACTGATCGATTGGATACTTATCCATGGTCGGTTATGTGCTGTTAGATCAGAAGGGTCCATCAGAGTGCTAAGAATCAGGTGTGAAAAACAATGTCTTCTCGTCATCTTCGCCTACACCCCTATAGATTGACCCCCAAATACGATCAAGGATGAGTTTTATCACCAGTTGACTGTTTTTCTACAGAACGTGCGTCCGATCGGTATTGTAGCACTAGCCGGGAACTTGAATGTGGGTCTGACGTCTATGCGTAGGGGAGAGACGTTTGTGTGTTAGTTTCCGTTCTGATGAACGACATATTGATTATTTCCTAGCCCTCTACCAAATGTCAGAACACCGTCATGGTTATTGCAAGTCAATATTCGAAGTGTATTTTTGGCATTAGATCCGCCTTCGATTCGTTGGACAGGAGGTGAAAATCAATCGATAGAGTTGAGTTTAGTACGAGAATCCATAACGGGTTATGCTTCTTTAGTCGGTTTCAACAATGTTAGATTGGTGTCTATAAAGACTATTTCGATTGTGAAAGTAGCTGTTTGAGGCTAAAGACTACTGAAGAATATATTTGGACTAGGAAGGTAATAATACGTATAGTGTGAGTTGAAAGAAGTTACGTAGTGATGATCATGTAGTGGTATAGGTCCTAAGCTTACAATCCTCATAGCTGAACATGAGGTAACTGGGAACGCGTGAACAATCAATCGACTCAAAAGTGACATGACTCAGCCTTGTAGACATAGTCGTTCTTGTGCAACACATCTTTTTAATTCATAATAAACATATCGTTCTATTTTCAGTTTAAATGTGTTCTTTAGAAACGCCAAATATTATATTGCTGATTTAACGATACGACGAGTCAGAATAGACAATGACGTGACCTGCACGTAAGATATTGTAGTTTACAGTTTCATATCATGACTAATCTACAAGTTTAGGATTAGATCTATTGTCACAACAGTATTGATAACAAACCTATCACATGTCCCCGGGTTCACCACTTCTGATCCCCATGGTGTTAAAGGTTGAATGTAAGTCTCCTCAACTATCGTATGTTAAACGTCAGGGGTCTTGTTTTTGAGACCAAACAGCACTATAAAGTCACCCTCATCCGAGGTTCTGGTATGTTTATCCGCAGTGTAGGAAGCATACACCAAGTGCAGTACCGCGAGGGAAGCATGAGACTCTTTTGTAAGCAGTCGTATCAATTACCAGAAATATATCCAGGTCACAAAATATAGGCTTCTTTCAACTCCGTCTCCCCTATACATCACCGATCGGATAAATTATTTATTTAGTTTTGACGCAATCATCTCTTAAGCTTCGAATTATCACTTCAAATGGTTTGGGATGGAATGCAAGGGGCTTTCGTTTGATGAGCATCATGTCTAGTAGCAGTGGTTCACCGATGAAACACCACTACATACATGGATCTGTGCTGAAACAACAATATGCGAGCGTAGAGAAATCAATCGGTGTGTACAAGATCGGGACAAATACACTGGATATTGGAAATTAGACTGCGCGTTAACATATCCAACCTTGACTCAATGACGCTAAACCCTACCAACAACTTCACTATTTGGATCGGCCAATGGAGACAAGACTGACCCCATCCACCCACAACATCATTGGTTATAAATACCGAGCTGTAATTGTGTCGTCAATTATCTTACCTATCCGAGTTCAGTCGAAATGTCTAAAGTTAAGGTAAGTTACATGTTTTGGATACTACGTTATTTGATACATGGTCTCTTTGCACTTGATCTAGTGTAATATGTGGTGCTTACAATTTAAGCCAAAAGTAATGTTGTTAGTTTTGGCGAATACCCGTCGTTTATATGAATGTCATTTAGATCTGAAAGTGACCCTTGGTCGGTTATTTTTTGTTAGCACTAAATTTTTACCACGTGAATGCACTATTCTTGTCAAAAATGTGAAATCCAGGTATTAACTCGAATAAGAGGTCACTATGCGCTTTCCCGAGCTACGTATTTGTCACATTTTAGCTATCTTAAGACAACAAAACTTTTGTTAAGATGCGAGTGTATATATTCCCACCAGACACGTATTCAGCCTAAAACGTTTTCTGAAAAGTAAGTGGAAATCAGACTAATTTCGAAAAAAAGGACGCACTAAGAGTTATATAGTTAAGTCACTTCTTCTACAGCTTGCGCGATAGACGTAGACTAACTCTGTCTGACTGTATATTTCTAAAATAACTACCTACCCATATTTCACTTATGACGACTTAGTTGTTTTTTTTAATTGTCTATGCTCCCGTCAATAGTCACCAGCAGCAAATATTTTGATATATATTCAAGTGTATGATTTCCGATCATATCCCGTTTGAAATCATTGATTAGGAAATGCTTCTTTTAAAGACCCGAAAATCGGAAATCAAACTATCTAAGCTTATGTACTTGCTCCTTGTACCGAGTCCCTAACCATTGATAATCAACACTTGGTACTATCAGAACGAAACGAAACTTTACGACACAGCAAATCGCACAGCTTAATCTCTACCTCCTAAAGCCCCATACCAGTAAAAAAAAATTGCACTCTTAGATGCTTGTATATATATATCTATATATATGAAGGTGTATGCATTTAACGACTGATTGTTTCTACCTCGTTCATTTATACGGAAACACGACTTTATTAATTGTCCACTTTACTTATCCGAATGTATTGGCTTACTAAATAAAAGCTAACACAAAACTAGCAATTGTGACATAACGTCATCGTGGTTCAGGACAAACTCGAGAATTGAGATTAGTGTCGCTTTTACGGAATGTAAAGTTTTGGGGATCTCTAATCCCACTATGTAATGTATAGTATATCAGAAAAAGTTGTGGATTTTAAGCGGTGACATATGAGCTGGACAATCCAACTTCCATCCATTAAGTCGTAGATGTAAGGCTCACAGTTGTTCAGTCTTAATTAAATGTATTGATTCGAGTTTTAAGCACTTCGAGTCTACATAAAATGTAATTAATCGTACTTTTTTGCATATTAGGTTGGAATTATTGGGGGTTCTGGATTCGACGACCCAAATTTATTCAAAAAAGTAGGAGTGCGACAAGTGACTACTCCATTTGGAAAGCCGTCCGATGCTCTTATCGAAGGTTTTGTTGGAGATGTTGCATGTGTTGTGCTTCCCAGGTAACCACTGTTAGTAAAAATGGCCTATTTGTTACGAAATAATTGATTTGGCTGGAATAAGTAATTGTATTGAACCTATTGTATGATAGTAATTTCCCAGATCTGCCCAAAAGTTACTCTAGGAGCTACGAATGAACTAGGGATTAGAAACGAGAAGGCAATGTACGTTACTTATCTATCTACCACACTGAAGTTACAATGGGAAGTCAATAAAGACTCCCGAAAAATGGAATAACAACATTCTGAGAAAGCGGAAGGTTGTGGGAATAATGTACTAACAAATGTAAAAATATTATGGTTTAAAAGTTAAGACTGCTATCGAAATCGTACCATTTTTGGAGGGCATAGAAGAAACTACTGATTACTTGATTTTTCCGGTTGGTTCTAATGGCAGCTGAACAGCGCTTAACATGAAAGCTGTTGAGTTATCATGTCCAAAGACGTATTAAAGTCATAGAAGGCCGTGTTTAAAAAGCCCATCACATATTAACTGACGGTTTTGATGCTATTTACAAACAAGTTACTGAACTTCTGAATGATATATATGGTACTTCTGTCGAACGCGAACAATCGTTTACGAATGACAATGGTCACTATAAAACTTATTCAGACATCGTTAGCTCGAAACTGCCAGGTTTAACGTAAATAGGGCGAAACAACGTTTAGTATCCACTACTCGACAACGTGGTTAGTTTCTTGTTGGCATCATAAGGAACTCAAATAGCTTTAAACCAATTTGGTTGACTCTACATAAAAGTGATTATGGCTCTGGGATCATATGAAACGTCTTGATTATTTACAGCAATTCACATATGTGATCGTGCTAGTCTTGTGTTGTTTTGCATATCGATAGTGTTAAGTGAAAGTAGATCACATATAACCATGTATTAAGGATTAATGTAGTGCGAATTAAGCGGTTTATGTTTTCATCATAGCAAAATGATGGCATTATGAATGTACATAAATCTGTAAAACCGTTAGGGCACAACGCATGTAATATCTTATTTTTCTAATGACTGAAATTCATGCATATTTTATTGCAAAGGTCTTAACTCTGCAGACTACAAAGGTTTGAATTTTCTGAAAATATTGATGTTCAGAAGGCACTCGAAACAAAGATTTTCGTGATTTAACTTACCATCAGAAAGCTCGTAACTGTTGTGCTGAATCCGGTATTTTTTACGTTTATAGAAAATGCATCCCGATTGACTAGTTAAATGATTTCCTGCTCATTTTGTCCCATCTTGCGGTTACGGGATGGTAATTTAGGAGTCTGTATAGGAGAGATGTTTAAAAAAGCTCTGCTTCAAGACAGAAGCAGTCCAGTTACTTTCTTTCAGGACCTATTTTATAATTTATTGTGACCATCTGTAAATAGTCAAAAAGGTTTACTTTTTGGGTAAAATTGGTCATTATCTATGAAAAGATTTCGGCTGAAATTTATTTGTCATTCAAATGACTTGTAGTGCTTAGAATTTGTGTGCTATTTTGCGTAAGGAAGACTAAGAGTTTTGCAGTTTGGAGACATTGGTCTGCGTTATGAGTGGCTTGTTCATATTTTATTTTGCAGACATGGTAAAGGACACTTAATTCCTCCCAGTGAAGTCAACTATCGCGCGAACGTTTGGGCGTTGAGAGATCTCGGGTGTACTCATATATTAGCTACTAACGCTTGTGGTAGTCTACAGGAGGACTTGGTACCTGGAGATTTCGTTGTTCTTAATCAGTTTTTGGATAAAACTTGGGGTCGTGAAAATACGTTTTATGGAAGTAAACCTGATTCATTGAAAGGCGTCTTACATATGCCTATGGCAGAACCATTTTGTGAAAAAACACGTCAGGTTAGATATTAAGCAAGTTTTCTATCGCTTGACTTAATAATTAGGGAAGTATGTAAAGCTTTTTTACTTAACTCTATTTACTTAATGGTGTTTGGTGTATAATTGTTATGACATTTACGTATACTTTGACATTGAATTTTACAAATTTTCACCTTTTTTTGTATAAGTACTTTTGAGTATTTACGTTTTGTGTTGTTTTCTTACCCATGGTTTAAAGCTCATCTGTTCAAATTAAAAAACGTGAACTGCTTCTAAAACGTTTTTGAGAGTTTGATTTGATGAACTATTCTTGTTATATTGTCTAACTCCGAAGATATTTCTGGGCATCTTGCTTTGTTTCTAACTTCAGAGATGAATTACTTCTCCATCTCATTACATTTTCAAGATTTACAAGGTGATTAATTATTTCATTTGTTAGTTAACCTTATTATTTATTTAGCAGGGATTTTACTTTCATTCCTTGATCTTACTAAACTCAAACTGGTTAACTATAGTATTACTGAGTGAAATTTCTGAATGTTACACAATGGTCAAATGAAATATGTTTGTTCGAGTACGAGAATAAAATTTCGTAGACAGTTTTCCTTTCCAACTGTATTAATATAGTGATTTTGCATATTCTTGAATCCTTTCAATTCAATTTTTAACTTACATTTCATTATGAAGCTTGTTTAAATAGCTTTTTATTTCATAGTTAACATCAAGAACTGATCTTGGTTGAACATTGAAGGCTGAGAAGCACTAGACAGATGTTTCGTCCTAATATGTTATGAGTCAGCAGCTCTTATCCACGACCCCATCATGGGTCTAACCCAGGACTTCCAGTTGTTATAGTGAGCACATGACATTTAGACCACTGATCCAACATCCAATAGTTTACATGTTTGAATTCAATCTTCAAACTATATTGACCAACCACCTAGTTTTATTAGTAGGTAACTGTTGTACACTTGGAGTAGTTGAACTTCAATAGTCACAACTCCTCACTACAACGTCATGATTTATCTCTTGAAATTAGTCAGTGGTGGGTAAATAATTATTATTACTATATAGTGAGGTTTTTGAGTTTGTTTAATTCCATAGTTGACATCGTCGATTAAATGTTAACGCTTAAAGTAAATTAATGTACAAAATGTTTTGTTAACAAGGCGCATTAACTATGCTAGATATATTCTAGTTTCTTGCAGTTGTTAATTATCAAATGAGTTAGAAGATTGTGTATTGTTTTGCTTCATAAATAATGTTCTAAAGCTTCTACAATATACTGATGCATCGGTAAACAGTTAGTCTACATGACGTACTTAATCAGTGATGAATGATCATGAAAATGTAAAGGAAAAGTTAAACACTGAAAACGTTTTTGCTTGAATTCTCTTTTTTTTTATAGTTTAATAGTGACTTGTTCATATGTCCCCTACATTTTCAGATGTTAATCCAAGCGGCCAGAAATAAATCAATAAATGTTTATGACAAAAAAACTATGGATAAATCCGCCTGTATTCATCCATGTGTACATACTGAAGGTTCTGCAGTAACTATTAATGGTCCACGTTTTTCAACTCGTTGCGAATCATTTGTTCATAAAGCAATGGGATTGGATATAGTTAACATGACATTAGTTCCTGAAGTTTCATTGGCTCGTGAAGCTGGTTTAAGTTATGCTTCTATAGCAATTGTTACAGATTTTGATTGTTGGAAAGCAGATGAGGAACATGTGAGAAAGTTATACTTACTGGCTACTTTTGTATAGTATTTTATAGATACACACATAAGGATGTCCAATTATTTTGTTATACTTCCAGTATGGGGTTGTGGATTTCAGTGAAGTTGTGATTGTATTCGTCTTTAAATTTGAGGATTTTCATTCATTGTTAAACATTGTATTTCTAGGAAGACCTAAACTAAAGTATAATGTTTATTAATTGTTGGTTAATATGCCGGGCTACGTTAATTTATACTTGTTTCATAATCGATAGTAGAAAATCTAGGAATTTCTGTGACCTAGTAATTAAAGCACTCAGTCCTTTCAACCAGTAGATCTCAGGTTCGAATCCAACTGTACTTACTTCTGTCTGGTCAGTTAGGTAGTATTACTATTCCTTCCACAGAATAGTGTGGCTCAAATCCGAGTGTTTAACGGTTTACCTAATATATGAGACACATTATAATCCTTATTGTTGACTAATCAACCAAATACCAATCTTCTCACTAGATAGATGGATAACCAATCGGTAGTGTAGTTTAATTTCTGATAGAAATTGTATGACATGATTAGCTGGTTTCTTTTTGACTGGAATCATTGTGATTCATGTTTCCTGTTTGATTGATGGATAATAATTTGAGCATAGAATTAGACTATGACTGTGGGACTACTAACTGAATCTGTTATAACAACGCCTTTTATTCATTTTATGTTACTGATCGTCTGAATAATCAAATGATGTTTTATGACAGACATATTTTCATAGTGCATTGCACTAATGAAACTTTAAACAGCTAAAAACTGAATAATTGTTAAAGGTAGTTGACTAACTAGGAACTGATTTCTAGTTTATTCCATTGAATAGAATAAAATTATTACTTCCGGTAAAAAATGTTTTCCCAAGGGTAACATTGAACACAGTCTGTTATGCAATGAATAATTAAGCAGAACTAGGAAAGAAAAGTATCCGGCACTCAAATAATTCACATTCACTGATGTATGACCTAAATTTTTGACGAGCATAAAACCTCTATAACCATCTAAAGGTTATTCTTACTGAATATGAGACATAAATCATTTCTCGGTTTACACGAATATTATTAACTTTTCATTGAATGCTCAGTTTATTTGAAACTATCAAGTCCACCCTTGGCATTGATACCAACAAACTCATTTTTGATGTATTATTTCATTTTCACCAGGTCTGTGTTGATATGGTTTTGGAACAGTTTCGTAAAAGTATTGTTCACGTTAGAGAAATTTTATTAGAAGCTGTGGCATTGATTGGCGCCCAAGACTGGACAGAAACTATTGAAGCAAATAAGGTATTTTGATTTTCTCTCACAGAATTGTCTTTTTTATGTTATTTAAACTCGTAATAATTATCTGTTATTGGGGGTCGATAAACAGATATTATGTTTTACGTATGTGATACTGTCATGAGATTACGCTTATTTGAAGTAGAAGTTATTCGTATTCGTTTCACCATGGAATCGTTTAAGAACTAATAATTTGTTGCAGCAGTCTTGTTATCAAGGTTCAGAGAGTATTCTCTTTAAAACAATGTCTACCAATGTCTACAAACAAAACACTCCGTCATTATCTCAAGATTGGCTTATTTAATTCATTGACCAAGTACATGTTCATGTACCCGGTTTCGGACCACACTGTTTATTAAGTCTAGTAAAACCAATTATTTGGAAGTTTGAGTGTGTTGCATTGGGTCATTAGTTAAGGTGATCATCTTTCAACCAATGGATCTCAAATCTCGACGTCACTGCTTCTAGTTTAGTTTGACCAACTGGATTGTATCACTAGGTCTGATGTAAATGATGTGGCCCATAGTAGTAATATTACTAATTGCATCAATAAATTTTCAAAACAGAATTGAAGATTAAGTTGGCTTCGTATGACTTAAAGAATAAGTTTCAACTTACCAAGTTGAACAGCTTAACATACTGAAAATGGAATAATCGAAAAGACCACGTATATGTATTGAATGCTCTAAGGAACTATGTGACACTGAAGTCATTTCCAGCATTCATTAGCACCTTTCAATTAATGAATCGTATAATTTGTTTTCTAATTGAATCTTTTTATTTAAAAGCTTTACACTTTGATTCTCGTTTAACAGGCGCTAGTGTCGAGCTCGCGTCAAGACTTGCTTCATCAAGAGAGTAAAGGCAAATAAATATGAGGACAATTGGAATTTATTGTCTGTGAACATGAACAAATGAATTTTAATTGACTATTTTACAAATAAAGAATTCAAAGAATGTTCTTATTTAATTGACAGTAATTATAAAATTGAATATTGTCCATGACAAGTGTTTTCTACTTTTAATTGGTTGTTTTGTTAGAATCCGATGAAATTTGTATTTGAAAATAAAACTTAAAACAATAAAATGAGCAAGCATTTTCTTTTTTTTAAATCCGGGTCAGTGTATACAGTTAGAAGTGAATTCAATCAGGCACACAGTCATGAGTAACGTAGAATCTGGCACATTCGTTCTTAATCAGTTCAAAATGTTTCTATACGCTATGTTTATCAAAACAGTGATATATACGTGGTGTAGTACGTGAAAAAATCTGTAATAAAGGAAGAAAGTCAAATAATTGAAAAATATGACGTTAGTTGTAGTGGGAAACTGTAAATATGATGTTTATAACTTAAAGAAAGATGGTGATAAGAGAATGTACCCGCTTTATTGAGATTGATTTTAATCCCTATCATCTGAAGTATCCAAACACTAATTAAGATTAATTTGTGTGCCTCAATTGAAAATCATACACCTTCCTACACGGATCAGTAATTACCAACTGGAGGGACTGACTAATCAGTTTATAATTCAACCATACTCGAAGAATATATCGAAAATATGTGTTCTCGGATTTTTACGACTTATCCATGTCCTTTTTTCACTACTAGTTTGAAAGCTTACCTCTGCAATTGCAGACAGTAATTTTCATATAAATAATAAAGGAATGAAATTTGTTTTGAGTTGACTATCAACGTTATACGGGGTCTACCATTGCGAACTGCAGTAAAAATTAACGAATTGATTAGATGTGCTAGATCTGATCAACTCTGTTCATAAAAAGTCTTAAACTTTGATATTCACTAAACTACAAGTTCAACAAATGACAGTTATATTTTTAACTTTGTTGGATTTATTCAAATGATCACATCGGTATCTAGAATGTTTATGATTTGTTCTTTTCATGATATTAAATCTGGCTACTCTATCGACAGTTTGATACACATACAGTTAACAGTCATGTAATTAAAGTTAATTTGTTTGTTTTTTTGAGGAATGCTTAGAGACATCTCAATAATCACTTTCTCAATCTGACAGGTGTTTACATTATCAATCATATAAATACGAAATCGAGTTTGCAATGCATTCTGGAGATTGTTCATAACTGATACTGTCTGATGTCGTGGACTAAAATCTGAAGATGGACACATGACAGCTCAAAATAACTTAAATCAAGTTATTCCACTGTTTCTCCAGGTAAATCTCCCTAATATAGTCTATGAACAACTTCCTAGACTTATTATATGGAAGAAGTAATTAATTTCTGGGGCATTTAAGATCATATTTCAGTAATAATAATAAAGTAAACGATTAACTTAATATTTTGAAATCAACATTTAGTTAGAGTTTTCAATTGGGGAGGTCCATGGTTCAGTTATGTATTTCTTCATAAAGTTATTATGGTACCCTTAGCATGTCTAATTCTTCTATACTATCCTGATAATACAGACGTTGGATTTCATCACTCAGACATTTAAATAGATTAATTTTATGTTACGGGGTGTGAAACACGTCCATCGATTGTTCTGAAATGTGAAGAACGAGATACCGTTCAATGACGTCCGTCTCTCTAATTGGTCGTATGATCTATGCAATAGGAATGTGCTGAGTAAAAAATACTTGGACTGAATTGTATATTCACTTACTTACTTACGCCTATTAATCCTAATGGAGCATAGGCCACCGACCATCATTCTCCAACCCACTCTGTCTTGGGCCTTCCTTTATAGTTCTATACAATTGTTGTTCATTCTTCTCATGTCTATGTCAATTTCTCGGTGCAATTTGTTCTTTCGTCTTCCTGTCCTCTTTTGGCCTTGAGGACTCCATGTGAGGGCTTGCTTTGTGACGCAGTTGGGTACTTTCCTCAATGTGTGTCCTATCCACTTCCAGCACTTCTTCCTCCACTGGGATCTGGTTTGTTCTCTCCCACAGTGGGCTGTTGCTAATAGTGTCTGGCCAAAGGATCCGAAGTATTTTGCGTAGACAACTGTTAATAAACACTTATATCTTGTGAATGATAGCTTTCGTAGTTCTCCAGGTTTCCACCCCATACAGTAGAACTGTCTTGACATTTGTATTAAAAATTCTGACTTCGGTGTCGGTTGCCAATTGTTTTGAGTTCCAGATTTTCTTCAGTTGTAGATGTGCTGCTCTTGCTTTGCCAATCTGCGCCTTCACATCTGCATCAGATCCACCGTGTTCATCGATGATGCTGCCCAAATATGTAAAGGTTTTTAAATCTTCTCCGTCAGTTGTGATTGGGTTGTTGCATGCTGTGTTGTACCGGAGAATCTTGCTCTTCCCTTTGTGTATGTTGAGACCTACTGCTGCTGAGGCTGCTGCCACACTGGTCGTCTTCTCCTGCATTTGTTTTTGCGTGTACGATAGAAGAGCCAGATCATCTGAGATGTCTAGATCGTACAATTGCACCTAGTTGTCCACTGTATTCCATGCTTCCTTCCAGATATTGAAGTCTTCATGATCTAGTCTATCAACAGGAGAAAGAGTGAGAGTAAGCAAACTTACCTGACACCGGTCTTTACTTCGAACGAGTCTGTGAGCTGTCTTCCATGCACGATTTAGCATTTTAATCCATCATAGGAATTCCGTATGATATTGACCATCTTCTCAGGCATGCTCCTCTTCTCTTGCTTGTTTACTTCTGTGTATTCAGCTTGTGTCTTGGCTTTCTCTACTCTTGTTCGGCTGGTATTGATTGCTGCCCTATTTCTCCTCTTTTCTTAAATCATATCCAGTGTATCAATAGTGGTCCTTTCCTTGTGATGATGTTTCTTGTGGCCCAGAACCTCATGACATGTTGCAGTGATTGCCTCCTTTATACCTTTCCAGTTGCTCTTCATTGAAGTTCCCTCTTCATTGAATAAATAGTGAAAGGCCTGGAACCTATTAACAAGGGCTATCATGAATTTAAGTTGGCCAGTATCCCGAAGAAAGGCGAATTGAGCTTTTGTGATGTTGTCCGCCCCGTTGTCTAGTGCTTCTTGAGTTTCAATTTCATCTTGACGACCAGCAAGTGATGATCTGAGGCTATATCAGCTCCTATTTTTGGTTCTCATATCCTTCATTGTCCTCCTGAACTTTTTATCGATGTAAATATGGTCAATTTTGTTCTATGTACTGTGATCCGGTGAAATCCATGTGGCTTTGTGTATGTGTTCATGTGGCAATATAGTGCCGCCTATGACAAGTTTATTGAAAGCATATTGGTTTGCAAATCTCTCACCATTTTTGTCCCTTCCTCCCAGTCCATGTCGTCCCATGAAATATTCATATCCGGTGTTGTCCATTCCAACCTGTGCATTTAGGTCTCCCAGCAGAATGCTCAGGTCTTTGTTGGGCAGTTCTGAACGATTGACTGTAGCCTATCATAGAATCGATCTTCAACGTCTTCATTGTAGTGGTTGGTAGGCGCATAGCATTGGGTGACGTTCATTGTAATGCCCCCTTTCTTTGCCTTATAGGAGGCTTTGATGATCCTTGGTTCATGAGATTCCCATCCTATAGATGCATTTTATGCCTGTTTGGATAGCATCAGTGCAACTCCTTGTGTATGTGAAGCATTTTCTTCTTCGTGGCTGGAGTATAACAAAAGCTCCCTTGAAGCTAGTCGTTGTTGTCCAACCTGTGTCCAATGTGTTTCACTGATCCCAAGCACCTCCAGATTGTATCTCTTCATTTCTGCAGCAATTTGGAAGACTCTCCCAGTCTCCCACACTGTACGAGAATTCCATATACCTAAATTAGTGTTCGCTCTGGTTGTCAGAAGAGGCATCGGCCTCGTGACTTGTGAAGGAACTCGGCTTTTATCATGAGGCATCATAACTCTTCTAAATGAAGACCTTCTAACTCCTAGGGAAGAGTTTGAATTATTTTTTTCTGGTTAGAAATTTTTTAGCGAGTTAGTTTTCTACGGGATGGAGTCGCTCACCCTATGCCCAACTCTCCTTCTTTATCCAGGCTTGGGACCTGCAATAGCCCCAGAGGGACCCCAGGCGGAGTTGTATATTCACTTCCATGGCTTTATATCGATCTAGTCAAATGTCTGAGTCACAGAATCCGACTATTATACTCGTAGGATGGTACAAAAAAGAATTAGATGTGCTAAGGCTGACGCCACAACAAAATGGATACCATAGTGATTTCATTTTTTTAAATGTATAATTTAACTTGAAAGCAGAACTCGGACTTCCCTTATTGAAACCTAAACTTCGTGCGTGAAATCTGATTCTAAAAATGATATACATTAAATTGAACTCTAAAGAAAATGGATATCCGGAGAAATTTATAAATAGAAATATAACCAATAAAAGAAAGCATGAGGAATGCCTAAACGTGAACAAAAAGCCTCTGTATATACACTTATAATTCAGATGCAATAAACCTAGGGACTGAAGTTACGCAAATAAATCCAATGAATTTTTAATGCATGTAAACTACAATTCATGTTTCCCATGCGTCCAATGATCCCTCCGAGGTTGGAAGATAAATTGCCTAGACTAGCCACTTCTTTATGTATCTATCAATTCGAATGCTCTTATTAAGCAACTTATATTGGTAGATGTTCTAGGAATTTGTGTATTCGCGTTCGTGAGCACCTCTCATAGTGGTTAAACAAAAGTGTAGCTAAAACTGTTAACAGCTCCATTTTAGCTCATTTAATTCAGACGTAACATTGGAGCAATCTTTCACAAAAATATATCGTGTTAACATTAGTCTATCTAGTTCCGTCAGACTGAGAATTTTTCAGACGGCTGAAGCAATTGCTATTCTGATCAAGGAGCCAGAGCTTTGCATCCAAAAGAAATAGGTTCAGCCGCTCCTTTAACCCTGGCCAACTTCGGGCCGTTCA